TATGTATGTATGTATGTATGTATGTATAAAAAGATAAGTTGTATCCAAATAAAAATAAAATGCATACAGATTGACATAATATTATCTCAAGTTCAATTGGACAGAGACTTGCTGGGGATGACAAAAGGATGCAGGAGGGAGTGAACACACACTGATGGAGGAGTTCTTCCTTGATCTTTCTGTGAAAAGAGATTTATGTGTGGGAAGAGAACAAGTTTTACATGAGTGGGGGAATGGGACACCGAGGCATTTGGTACAAGGATTCTTTATACTTTCACGAGAATATGAACTTTGTTTTATTAATTAAAAAATAAAATTTCCAGTAAACATTCTTTCCCATGAAATTGTTCCCATGGGAAGGGTGGAATTATAACATTCCTGGGTTAAATAGAAAGTTTTAATCTGGTAAAATGTATTTATTGTAGTAAAAAATCTTTTATCCCGAAGTAATATTTATAAACACTCCCAAGAAGATTTATGACCAACCAAATGGATTTTAATCATTCTTAGGAATCATGATTCAATTATAATTCCCATGAATCATAATTCCCGAATATGAAAAAAAAATTCATGTACCACACACCCCCTAAGATTGAGGGGGAAAAGTCACATGCAATATCACATCCATCTCTCAAAACCACAACACCCAAAACAGCTGCATGGCAGGTCCTTACATTTTATGGGGTCTAGGAAAAATAATAAATTAGGGATCCCTAACTATAAGTATAACTTTTATAAAAAATAGACATGAAATTTTAATAAAAAAATTATATCTTAATATATTAAGTGCTTAATATAGATTTAGAGAGGCGGGTATAGTAATAGTATGCAGTGCAATTTTTTTATTTTTAAAATAGTTTCTTCAAGTATTAAGTACAGATTTTATTAAGTGTAGTTTTCATTTTTTGGATACATAAAATTTAGAGAGGATGTAATATGTTATTGAGTGTAAATTTTTTTTATTTCAAAGCAACTTTTTTTTTTTTTCCGGGTGCCATTGTTTAATATGAAACTAAATGACAGTTCTTTTTCGTAAATAAAAAATAATAATTGAATGACAATTAAATCACAAATGTGCAATCATATTTTTTAATATTTTCAAAATAGAAAATAAATTCAAGGTTTTAACATGTGTACGAAAATAATAAAACAGGAAGTATTTTTACCAACTCTCAAGACCCGCAATACAATAGCGCTTTTGCACCTATTTTTACCAACTCTTGTGGATACTGGATAGTTTATCAATTAACAAGAAACTTGTTGGTGAAATCAGACATCGTCATTCTATACTAAACTGTGTATTTGATATACGTATAAGAAAATTTATCTATGAATAATAACGTACTTCAGAATTCAGATGTTCCAGAAAAGGCATAAAGCAAGGAGGAAACTTTCTGGTATGAAGATATCTACCCAATTTCAGATTTGTATGTGTCAAAGTGTGTTTGGGAAAGATCATATTCCCAACTTTCAGCTGTTTTTGTGTAAAAAAGATGTTTGTGAAATAAGCAAATTATTTGAGCCAACAACTTAAATTTGTAAACAGCTTTCCCCTTAAAGTTGATTTACTACATAAAATGTTGATTTTTTGTTGTATCAAAACAAAATTAAATATCTTAAAATCGCTTTTCAGAAAACTTATCCAAACAAAATCCATTATGATTACAATCAATTATAACAATAATCAATTTTACATTTAATCAATAATTGAAATAATCTAATTTTCATAGTTTTTCCAAATACACTCAAACATTATCATATCGAATGCAAATATTTACTGCACAGCATGTACACCATGGGAATTTTATTGACTGAAAATATCACTAAAACTGGATTAACAGAGCTGATTGTCACTAACAAAAGTTATAATATAGTACCAAGTATTTCCTTCGTACAACCTTAAATATCTTAAACATATACACCAAAATTTAACAAAAAAATCCATACCTTGGCCATTGTCATTTGCTCTTAATACAACAAAAACATATTTGAGGAGTGGCACCAAGGTAAGAGAATAGATAATCAAAGAAAGAGCTCCAATTACATCCTCCTGATCTTTCACTCCATTAGGAAATGTGTTGTAGAAAACATACAAGGGTGAAGTGCCCAAGTCTCCGTAAACCACACCAAGACTCTGAAATGCAAGCCGCAGAAGCAACAATGCAGAAAACTTCTGAACAAATAAAAATTATGTTAACAAGGAATTACATACCAAATCCCTTAGCCTACATAGTAGCTTATTATTTCATCTGTAATCTGTATAGAAAAGGCTGGATTTCTTAGTCAAATTGATATTTAGCAATGCACTCAAGTTGCTTTAAGTCTCTGTCTTTTAAATGAGACTGCATAAGGTTTCAAATTGCAATTCCGGTTGCAATCTGATCGCAATCCTTAATGTTGTGTGAAATTGGGGACAAATGCGGTTGCAATGCAATTGCAAGTAGTCCAAAAACCTTGATGTTGCATCCAAAATCACAATTGCAAACCAATTTTTAAACCCTGTCCTATTTTAAACCCATGCTGCGGAATTTATCTAAAAACAGAGGATCTTTCTTGATTCCAAGGAAATCACTATTTTTGTTCAAATTGTGTTCTAATGAAGTCCTTGACACTGTTGAAAACTAAGAAAACAAATTAAGTGCGCCAAAATTAAGAATACGGAGGGACATATGAAAATTGAGATTCCATAACTCAAATTCCAAGCATTCTTTCGAATAGCGAGTGACATTTGATCATGGCTACATTAATTGAACTTTATAATGTTGGATTGACGAATCATCATTACAAGTATTAATTTCTTTACAAACTAAGAATCACAATTAGAAGTAATGAATTGCAATTTTTTTCCTCAAAAATAACAGTATGACAAAATAAATTCAGTAAGAGAAAAAGAAAGAATGTAAAACTAAGTTGCAATAAGGCATCTTACTTTTTCTCTGTACATATTTTTGAGCCTTCCTGCCTCTTCATCCATAGGCTGGTCAAGCTTCTGATCCAAATCCCACATACTACCTCTGTTATCACTATCATCATCAGTATCTACTCTTGAACCCATTTTGAGCCGAGTTCAATAAATTGCAAGTTCCAACAAGTAACAGCTATGCAGCCTTATATTCTCCCCTTTCAAGAGCTCCTCCACCCCTTAAGAAAAATACACAGCAAAATTTGACAACAAAACCTTGAAACTTTAAATTTGAACTCACTTGAAATCCATGCCTATTGAAACCACGGATCCCAACTACCAAAAAAAATCTGCAAATGAAAGCAAAATTGAATATTTCACTTAAGGGTCCATGTCTGCCGTCTATGGAAAACAAGACCAACCCAATTTCAAAAATCAACACAAAATCTATACCCTCATACCTCAGACTATCAAAAACTTCCTCAGAAACTAGGAACAAAAGAATCAAACTTTGCCAGGCCTACATACATAAGCATGGTAGAACATAAATTAAGATTGAGAACTATCTTGAGCAGCCAAATACCCTAGTAAAGGAACTAAAATTTGAAACCCAGAAACGCAAATTTGATCCATGCAACCACAACCCGTAAAGGAAAAAGGGAAGAAACCATGTTTGTAAGTGTTATCTAAACCAAGCCTCACCTGTTTTAGCATAATCTGCTACTTGCCACTGAAAATACCTAAGTGAGTTCTCAAAAAAAAAAAAAAAAAAAAATTTGCTCCTAACAAGTGAGGGGGTCAAAAACAAGAACCCATCTCAATTTTCACATGACCAAACCCAGAGTCCTGAAAACTAAGAGATGGGCACAACACATGCAAGGCTTTTCACAGAAAACGAAGATTGTATTGTAACAGAACTGAAACACAGAGTGTCCTTCTGCTGAGCCTGTATTGCCTTTTTACAGTAACTGGACAGTGTTTTCTCTTGGAAGCTAGCAGACAAAAAATCTCAGAACGATAGAGAGAGAGGGGGACAAACCGAGAACTATATAATCTAGAGAGAGATGTAAGTAAAGCCCGGAGAAGAGAGAGAATGTGGGACCCAAAGAGTTATTTCATTCATTTTATGATTGGTAAACATCGTTCGGGTCTTCACTTCGCTCACCTCACACACTTTGATCTATCAAAGACTTAAAAAGAGTTAAGTCTATACAAGGATTTTATGTATTAACTATTTTTAAATTAAAACATTTTTAATTAACTTTTCATTTTAATTTTATGAAATATTAATTATCAATTTTTTGGAAAGATATTTATTTTAATTGATTAAAAAATAAGCAGTATTAATTATGAAAAGTAGCATTAATTTTAAGAGAAAAGTAATACAAAAAATACAATTGAGACAAAAAGGTGAATATTATTAAAAGTGAAAAGTAATATATAAGTAATTTCGAAAAAATGTAAAAATAAAATAAATTTATTGTTATAACTAGATTAATTACTTTTTTAATTTGGATAAAAATAAAGATAATATTTATTTTAGTTTAAAATTAAAAAAAAATTGTCACATAATAATATTAACTTCAATCTAAATTATAAGTAACATAAGACAAATTATCAAGATAAAAAAAATAATTAATATGATTATTTTTATTAAATTTTACCATAAAGTCAAATTTTATTCCAAATTATTTACTAAAAGCGATAATTATATTTAATGTTAATTTTAAATGAACGATAAAAAATATAATTAACAATAAGAGAAAAATATAAAAGAAATTTAACATTGAGTAACTTTAAAAATTATTGTAACTTATAATTAGGTTAAATAAAAATTTAATTTATTACTTATATTGATTTAGAATATAAGGTAATAATATTAATGTATATTTTGAAATTAAAATAATAATAAATAATTATTTTTAGAAACTTAAATTAATCAACTAAAACTTTTAATTACTTACTACAACAAAATTTAATTTCAAAGACTAAAGTGTTAATGACATATTTTTAGATATTCAAATAATATGTATAAAAAACAATGTTAAAGGCACACATAAAAGGGAAATGTATTAACTTTATGTTTGAACAAAAAGTGCTACTAACATACGATATAATACACTTTTGTGGACATATTTGTTTTCATTGATCATAATTTATTATAAGCAACAAAATTAAGAGAGGAAAACATTAAATAAAATACGAGATCTATCAAATTTTACATTTTTTTAAATAAATTTCCATGAATGAAAGAGACTATATTTAGAAAAAAAAAAGTTTTAAAAAATGCGTCACTAACGTCATATTTGAATATTTATGAGAGAGACACTACATGTATGATATATATGTTTTATAAAAATCACTCCTCTTGGCTATGTTTTGAAAAGTTGGTAGCCTATTTTTGGAAATTTTAATGCGTATATTCTTAAATTTCAAATCTCAAAATATAAAAAGAAAAATTATTACTTTCAAAATAAAAGTATTTTCGAATTATTAAACTGAAATCTTAATGCTCTCCTTACTTCATAATAAATGTCGTGAATTTTTTTAAATAAATATTATTTTAGATTGACTCGTGAACAAGTTTCAAACTTTGTCTAAATAATGAGTACACTAATTTTATATTGTTATCCATAACATGACATATATGAAAAGTCTGTTAAGCAATTATTTAAGTTAATTTATCATGATATTTTAATGTTTGGGAGTGTAATTTTTTTACGCTGACAAAAAATAAATAAATTTTAATGAAACTGTGTCAAAAATAACATTGTTACATTTAATTTTTTGAATAATATTTTTTTACTTATATTTATTAAAATATAATTATAAATTAAGTTAATTGATTATTGTAATATTTTTTATATAAAAAATTTACTATAAATATAGTAGTAAATTTTATCTTAATATTTTTTATTCTATTTTTTTAAATTAAAGTCTTAGATTAAGTGAAAAAATGACGCCTAAAAAATATATTTCTCTTATCTCTAATTATTTTTAAAAATTAAAATCTCTCTCAATTAAAAAAAATATATAAAAAGGATATATAATCATAATGTCAAAGTTTAAATAAATAAACTTTAATATTTAATATAAATTTAATGATAATTAACATATATATTTTCAATTCTAAAAATCTTGTAGACAGGAGGCATAAAGTATGAGTGACAACACTCATCTATATTAAAACTAAATATTTTATAAAGCAAAAATTTAACAATATTATTAAGACGTTACAAAATACAACTTTGTTAAAAATTTTAATTAATATGTAAAGTAATATATATATATATATATATATATATAAACAATATTTAATTATAATTTGATAATATTTTTTTAATGTTGCTAAAAATACATCTTGTTGCATTGTGTTCTTATTACTTACAAAGAAATTTTTTTTTAGTCTCTTATTTGTGTAAATGAGTGTCAAAGACATATTAACATAAATGAAAAAGTGAAAGAAAAATTTAATTTATAAAATATAATTATTTTATAAGAAAACAAGAGAATTATTATACTTTTATTGATTTGTGTAAAAAAAATCTTAAAAAACACTTGAAAAAGAAAAGATAGTAAACGTATGTTTGAGTTTCTGTTTTTATGAAACAAAATATTATGAGTAGGGGTGTTAATAGAATGAGTAGGGGTAATAATTTTTTGTTACTTATTTTGTTAAATAAATATTTATCTTCTATATATGCAGATATTTATTAACTAAATATTTACAAACTTTTAAATATTTGTGAATATTCAAGGATATCCGTAAATATTTGTTGAAAAAATTATAAAAATCTTATAAATAATTTTAAAAATATTAAATATTATAAAAAAATTTATTAATTGCCAAATTTTTAATTTAAAAACTAAATTTAACTATTAAAATACTTCAATACCATAAGTTAAAAAAATTCAATAAATTAAAATAGTTCAATTCGCAAGTCCAAGATAAAAGTTTAAAAAATTATAATATTTCAACCTAACAAATATAAATAAAAAAATTAAATAATAATATATTTTATGTTATATATTTAAACAAAAATATTTAGTAATTTTATTATAACAGACACCAACAATTGAAATCTTAACATATAGCTTATAGTTGAGCATACAAAAAGATTCTCCTGAGAGCTTTATATTGTATAAAACTCATTTTAAATCTAGATCAGACACCCACTCCCAAATCACCACACAACAAGCACTTGTCTACTGTAAATAAGAATATTGGAAATGAGACAATGATGATTTAAGTCATGATCAAAATGTGTGTATATTATATCAAAATCTTCACCGTTAAACACACTTGTTTCTTGTATTCTAATACACCACAATAGTCATTGACACAAATTTTCATGTTGTTATTATATGTTGATTTTCATGTAATTTCATGTTACAAAAAATATTGTATTGTTGATCCTGACAAAATAGTATCTATATAATGTAACACATGTTCCAAACATCAACCACCACTTTACACTTAAAGAATAAATAAGAACTTAATTTTATCCCTTTTTAGCAAAATGGATACATTTTTTCTAGATCTTCTACCAGTTGAATTCCCTTACTAGTCAAATTGACATTTATTGGTAATATATCCAACATCAACCTCGACACAAAAAATGATGATTTTGATGGCAGCTTGAGCCGCTATATTGTTGTAAAGATATCAACCCCTTATTAGGTAGATATTAATGATTTAGATCTTCATATGTCAAATTAATCGTATAAAAGACAAAGGGATCTACTTTCCACCACTACATGTCAATGACATTTTTAATGATTCTTACTAGTGCCACCATAATTTCCAACTTTTGAACAAGCTTTTTTCACCACAAAAATCTCTACCTCCTCCAATTTAACCTCCAATTCCACTTCCCCTCCACCCAACTTCCCATACCATATACACCTTTAACTTTTTGTAAAGATAACAAATATAATATAATAAATGGAGTCTTTAAATGTATGAGTTTCTATTTGTGTCATTAAATGTATGTTTACTAAAAGTCATTCTTTTATCTAGCTTTGGACTAAAGTGAAACTTAAGATAAAGAGTGAATATAACTATAAAGTAAAACTTAAGATAAATGAATTTTGTCGTTTGATCTATATTTGGTGGTAATTAACTTATATGTCTTTAATTTTAAAGGACTTGTAAAGTATGAGTAACAACCACTCTCTATATTAAAATTCATTATCATTTTATAAAATTTACAAAAATATATTAACATTATTAGAATGCTACAAAATACAACTTTAGTAACATTTTTAAAATGTTATAATTAATATATAAAAATGTTACTAAAAGTCTTTAGTAACATAAGTTTTATTTGACATTTGATAAAAATGTATCAAAACTATATTAAGAACATTTATTCATAATTTGACAACATTTTTCCAATGTTGCTTAAGACATGCTTTATTGTAGTGTGATTTTGTTATTCACAAAGAAAATTGTCTTTTTCTTAGGTCTCTCATTTATGTAAATAAATGTTACCACAGACATATTTACATACATGAAAAAAAGAGAAAGAAAACTTGAATTTATAAAAATTTTATTTATTTTATGAAAAACAATGAAAATTATTATTATTTTCATTGTTATATATAAGGTCTTTTTCACTTTTTTACTTGAACCTTCTTATGAAGTTTTCTTCAATTGTCTATTGGATTAATTATATCTTCTCTTAAATGTCTTTATTTAATAAATATTTTTTAAACAAAAGATAATAAATGTTTGAAATTAATTGGATAAAAATTTTCTTTAATTGGGATTGAAGAAGATAAATAAATATATAAATATCTCTCTCTTCTAAACATTAATTAATTAAGTAAGAATTGATTAAGAAAAAAGAAAGAAGATTAATTTTAAAAAGTAATTTAAATTATTGAAAAATTTAACATTCTTAACTAAATTAAATAATTTCCTTAAAAGATGTAATTCACTTAAAAGGATTTTATAATTAGAAATGAATATTGGACATTTTATTGATTTGTGACAATAACAAATCTTAAAATAAACTTAAAAAAAAAAAAAAACAAGCAAGTGTATGTTCAAGTT